TAGCTGGTTGTATGTTGCCGCCTACCTGTCCGCCCGTGGGCCTGGTGCAGGTGCCCACCACCAGCGTGTTGTCAGCGTGAGCAGAGCTCGGAAGCACAGTGGGCTTTGCCCCCACTTCTCCTTCCAGGGTGGTGGTGAGGAGGGTCAAGCTGGTGAAAACAGCTCCTACTCTTTTATTGGGGAGAAATGCCCCCAGATGTCAGGGCAGGTCGGGGAGCGGGCAGGTTGGCTGGAAGAGAAAAGGATGAGCCGGGGGAGTGACTCAAGCCGGTTTAGTATCCCACAGTGCTCAGCTCATGCTGTGCAGATGAGCAGCATCCAGAAAAAGAGATTAAGGGACACATCATGTCAACATTTCTCCCCAAGTCACCCCAAGAACTTGTTGAAAGTCTCAGATGGCCTCTGCTGGCTCTTTCCTGCCACTGTGGGGACCTCAAGAGAGAACCATCTGGTGAGGGACTTGCAAACAGTTAACTAAACAGAGAACATCAGTATGTGGTCAACCTGTGGTGACCCACAGTCACCAGGGACCAAGCCCATGGCCCCATGTCCGAGAGCTTCACTGGGTCTTCTGAACTTCAGTCACCACTGGTGATTCTTGGGTGTGCACCTGACCCACCCGGGGGCTTATAAAAACAGACATCCCTGGGCGCCACGGCCAGCGTTTCCAGTCTAGAAGATCTGGGAAAGGGCCTGGGAATTTGTATTTCTGACACATTCTCATGTGATGTGATGCTGCTGGCTCAGAGGCCAGTGTTGAGAAGCCCTGGTGAGGGCCATAGGCCATGGGTGATTGCAATACCTAAAGGGCCACGTCTGATGGAACGTGTTGGTTGCATCCATCTTCCCTCTAGTACCTGGTCCCTTCATGTGCCCTGCGCAGCTGAGCCATAGCGGGAAATCCAGCCCTTCCGAACTTTGCATCCCTCGGTAACTAGACAACTTTACCGGTAATTTGGAGCTTTCACAGTGCTAACCGGACTATAGGTCTGCTAAAAGTGTTTTGAGGTTTAATTCTTTGAAAAGTGGGTTTTATGTTAAGGCTAGAGAAAGTGGCCAGGGTGAGGGGGCGATGGCCTGACTGCCACAGGCAATAATCCAGTGAGGGCCATCCTTGGGTTGCCCGCTCTGGTCTCTCTTCCCACCTTTGGTATGAGTTGGGGGGAGATGTTTAATAGGCATCTCTCTGTACCAGAGGGTGGACAAACTCCCAGGATCCACAGGGAGACAAGGTATGTGAATCACCTGTGAGTTCCTGTTCCTCTCAGAAGAGGGCCAGAACATCTTGATCAGGATGCTAGGTGGGAATCCGGGTCCCACTGTTTACTAACTAGTTATGGTGCCCTCCCTGGCCTTCCAGGTGGGAGGGATGAGCCTCATGGCGCCAACCTGAGAGGCCGATGTCATGCCAAAGGGAGAGAGCACTTCTGGGATGGTGTCTGGCATATGGAATGTGTTCGATAAGTGGTGGCCAGGAGAATCTGGGTGTGTTCTGGGGCCGCCCTGGGATAGGCTCATGCTCTGCTGACAGGGGTTTTGAGGGACACGGAGTGTTTCTGAACCACATGTAGGTCTGTAATGATGTGTGGAACACTTTGCGAAAACTGCTGCTCAAGGGAGATCCCCTCAGGAAAGGCTCTAAGTCTGCTCAGAGTTACGTGGCTTTAGCTTGAGAAATGGGAGCCCCCCTCAGAAACAAGGGAAGGGGGGCCCCTCAAGAGTAGATTTCTCTCTCCCCTGCCCTGATACATCTGGCAGCATAGAACCCTAATAATTTACACAAGGGACCCATATCACTTATCTCTGAAATTAGTCTGTGATAAGCAACGAACGGTCCCTGGCTGTGCCCTCTCAGTTTTAACTTCTTGAAAAATAAAAACAGTGGGCTTCTGAGAGCTGGACACCTTGGTGCTGTTGAATACATCCTATCCCCCTGGGCAGCTGTTTCGAAATCTTAAAAAGTTGGCTCCCAACACTGTCAGAATCCACCGTGAGTCAGCATGAACAGGATGTGAGTGCCTGGCTTGTCATTTTCCCAAGCGTTGAAAAGACTTCAGTGTAGAATAATGCGTTTTACACATTGGTGACTGGGGGCACTGGTCTGGCCTTTCAGCAGTGAGGGATTGGCAGTGCCGTGGACGTTACAGCCAGTTGAAGTCCATGGCTTTGCTTCCCCAGCCCTGTGCCCTCATACTTACTGCCTGGGAAAGCGGCCTGGGTGAAGCCATCCAGGGAACCATCCAGTCTAGGAGTGGGTGTCTGAGCTACTGTTTTGTCACTCCTTCTCAGTTTCCCATGTCTAGAGCTGTTCCTCTGCCATTAGGAGCAGAAAGGGCCAGGTTTGGGAGCTAGCTCAGGGAACATCCAGAAAATCAAGTCCCTGATGAGGGCTTGTATTTGCAGTGTGATGTGTCTGACCCTGAGGCCATCCTTTGGATCTGAGGGAGAGGGAAGTTGTGTACACAATGGGGAGAACTAATTGGGGCCCCTTGCATATTAGAGATGGGCAGGAATAGTATAATTCAGCCAAATGGGGGGAGGGGGTAAGAGCAAAGGGGTAACATGTGACCTGAAGCTCCTCTGGGACTGTCCAACACCGGGCTGGCAGTTTCCACCCACTCCCAGTGGATGCCAGCAAATGGGAAGCCAAATGTGTGATTGGCTCTGAATGAAGGACAAATCTTTTAAAGTTCCTGAATGTGTTATCTTAAGTTTTTTCAATGATAGCTAGACAGCCAGGCCAAAATGGAGTCATTATGGATTTTACTTATCCATGCAAAAGCTCCTAAATGAGCTAGCTCAGGTCTTATAGGGGAAGCTGGAATTCAGAATCTAAGTAGGAGGGACCCCAGGTCTCAGTCCCAGCGGTGTCAGCTTCCAGTGTGACCTTAGGAAGATTGCTGAATTCCTCCATGTGGGTGCTTGTACAATGAAGGTTGACCAGATGATCCTTAAGGCCGGGCCATGTCTCACTCTTTGTGATATAGGTCAAGACCTGCGTGGTTGAGTGTTTGTTGCCAACATCTGCCTGGGCTGTTGTACCTTTTTTTTTTTTTTTTTTTAATCCCTCAAAAGTGGGGAATCACTGGAAGAGAGCACAAGTTCCTTAGCCACCTCTCTATTTCAATGGTGAAACTAAAGGAACCAGGTTTTCCCTTGTACCCACGCCCATCACTGATGCATTTCTTCGTTCCTGTTTCTCTTTGCCCACCCAGAGAGGCACCACATAAGACATCTTGTGTCCAGTTTCCAGACTTTAAGTCACGTTAGAAAATGCTAGCTCATAGGACACAAATCAGGAAGCTGGTTTTCCCAGCAGACTCATCTGGGCAGCATTCTTCCTAGAATGTTAGATAACCAAATTTATCACCTCTCAGAAAGCCCGACTGCCACTGGCATATGGGGCTCCTGAGGAAAAAACTAAGGCTGCAGGGGTTGATGGGAATCAGCTAACTCACTTGTACAGAAGGTTTAGGGGAAAGATATAAGGATAAACAATACAGAGTCTCAAGAAATAAATACAGACTATCACAACTATCTTGTGAAGTGTCGGGACAGCAGGAACGATGAGTGGGTAAGAGAAGCTTTGACCTCTGCCACTCAGCAGAACCCCGCTGGCAAAGGCTGCTAGTGTGAAAAGGGTTCTGCTCCAGATATGTTTGGGAAGCACACAATAAATGAATTTCAACAGCTTTCTTTATTTCCTAAATTCTCAGGGTCTTTTGTATGTGCATTGTGAATGAGTCTCTAGGGGGAGGATGGGGTTGTTCCAAAATCATGTGCCCCTTCCTCCCTTTTTACAGAGAATTTTGTGCCATTAACAAAAGTCAGGAAATGGGGAGGGGCAGGGGGCTGCTGGTTTTCCTGGTGAACTCAGGGTTGCATCTTGGGCAGGTCGCATGTGGAGGGGACAGCAGTACCCACGGGGGCTTTGAGTAGACAGGCAGAGCCTGTTCCTTCTCTAACTAATGATAAATACTGCCTGGTCAGAGAAGATGGCTGGAAAGTGTAGGCAGGTGTGAGGTTTGACCTCCCTCCCATGGCATTTCTGTCTCCTGCCTTGTCTTCCACCCCCACATGTCTGAGCCACAAATGTAAGCACAAAGCTGGCTTGTAAGGCCACCATCTTTGGGGGAGGTGACACTGTCTGTATTTCTGAATTGACCCGGACCTCTGCCTGTCTTTGGAATCATCCTTTCACTTGTTTGGGAACTGAGAATAAGCTTCCACAATGTGCTGCTTGGGAGCCACATCGTACTGGTCTCAAGTAGCAAAGTTGTTTTTATTAGAACCATAGTCCTTAGAGCTGTCTGAGCCATGTCAAGGTTTTTGTTTGGCCAGCCACCCTCCCCACTCCTTTATCTGATCACGAGCTGCCCTTCTCTTTTCTTCCCTCCACCTCACTAAGGCTTCTTGGTGGAAGCCCATCTGTTCACGATGCTTCCATGTACCTGGGAGGCTCACGCTCCTGAGATGGGGAAATAATAGGGGAGTGGAAGTTCAACCACCATCCTCCTGGTCCATCCTCATTGGGCTACAATTCTACAATTCTCTCTCACATCCCTTTGGACCATTGGAGACTGGTGCTCGTGCATCACCTGGGCAAACATCGGAGTTGTCCTGAAAGTCCCGTGTGACCCTTTAGGGAGACCAACAGAAACATGTAGGGGAAAAGCCTCAGTGTGTTCCAGCAGTAGACCCTGACCCGGACGGTCAGAACTAACTTCAATTTTCAGTAAACAAGTAGTGGGCTTCTGGGAACATCTGCCTTTTCAGTCTCTTGTGAATTATTTTTAAACGAATGCCCTGCCCCCCTCCCCATTGCCACCCGCAATTTTCGTTGATTATCACTATTTGAATAGATGCTGATAAATTTGATTCCCCAGCTTACTGTGGCATTTATGATCTGTCTTTCCCTTTTCGGTTTCCATGTACTGGAGTGACTGTCTCTCAATGCGGTTGGCAGTGACCTGTGTTTTTCATGCATGTTTTTGTTTCAGAATAACTGGGAGATGAAACAGGAAGCTGTATGACACAGTTGATCGAAAATGACACAGACACAGAAAAATCAGGACTCGGCCCCCTCCAGTGCCTCTACCTGCTGCCCACAGCCGGAGTGCAGGTGAAGGGTTTCCCCTGGGGCCTGATCCTAACTGCTGTGGACTCCAAGGGCCTCCACATTCACGATGATGTGTTTGTGATGTCGTGGTCACAGTCTCGTCTAGCCAGTTTCCTATTGATCTGACCAGTCCCTGTGTGTCTTAATCCCTTTTCCTTCATTAAAAGCAAAACTCAAGAAAAATGAATTGTTTGCTTATTAGCTATACTCAAGCATTAGCTGGAAGAACAACAAATAGCATTTGAGATTAATTTCTATAGCACCACGGGTAAACCCTGCCGTAACCACCCAGATCACGATGACATCTTTAGAAGAGCGTTCAACTTGAATCTCTTATTACTCAGCCTTGTTTGCACAGCTCTAGAAGACCTCTCTAGAGTCAGTATTGGCCCGTGTGACATTTGAGGAAAACCCTGGAAGACATTTGGAACTCTCTTTTCACTCATATTCTGATCATGGTCTGCAAATGGTGACCCCCAAAACCATCACCGATCTTGAGCTTTCTGCTAGGGGCCTCTGTCTTCTCAGTTGCCTCCTCTGCCCCCACCCATCAGTCACCCATTCATTTCTTCATTCTACAAGGTTTCTTTGGGGCATACTGTGTAACATGTTCTAGAGATAATTTGGATAGGACCAACTCTACCCTGGTCTTCCCAGTGCCTCTAGCCTAATGCTGGGGCTTTGCTCACAAGGTGTAGGGTGGCATCATACAGTCATCATGGATGTACAGCCTACTCATTTCATGTAGATGCCCTGGTTTCTTCAATTCACCCTTCAAATCTGAGCCTCTGGGATGGCAACCAAACATTCTATAGAATGGGCGTAAATGTCAAAGCATTCCTTCAGTGGAGTACTACCCTCGTCCCCAACCCTTAATGGAACAACTCAGTCTTCCTGGGGACCTGGTCAGAGAGGCTGTTGGTAGCTTCCTTCATCGCTTTTGTCAGCCTTCACTTTTAAGCTTAGCAGATGTCCACGAATGCTTTAAAATGATGGTGTTGTACTGTTTCATGCTTCTCAGAATTAATTTCTCAGTCAACCACGATGATAATCTCAACCCTCTCTAGAGCATGGTACAGTATATCCTGCAATGCCTCCTCCTTGGGGAGGCTCTCTCTGACCACCTGTCCTCAGACAACCCCTTACCCCCGCTATTTCTATTTCATGACCCTATTTTATTTTCCTCATGGAACTTGCCAATAGCAACAATTATCCTGTTTGTTCATTTATTAATTAGCTGTGTTCCTCTCACTTGCCTTCCAAATTTCAGCTCTATGGAGGAAAATTCTAGTCGGTCTTATTTCCCAGTCCGTCCCAGCACCTAACACTCTACTCAATAGTTACATATTGACTGGACCCATTGCCTTATCAGTTCTCATAGTGACACTGTGATGTTGAATAGTCCGGTATCCAAACCAATGTTTGGTGGATGAGGAAATTGTGAGTCCATTTACCTCTGATGATGTGAGGAGGTAAATGGAGTAGTTAAGGTGAGGACACAGGCTCTCTGTCAATATACTACCCAGCAGGAAAGGTTGATCATAAACTGTCTGCTGTCTAAATAATCAGATTCTCACCTGAAACCAAGCTTTGACTTGCTAATCAATGTCCTTAAATTAAATTACATTTGCATATGGTCCTGGAAGATTAAAGGCAACCAAGTAGCAGAGAAATGTGTCCTCAGTGATGAGTCTGGAGTATGAGACCCTCATTCTCGCTCTGACAACTCTTGCTTGGGTGAGTCACCTAACTTCTCTGGATGCTGCTTTCCTCTGCAGAACACCAAGAAGACTGGATGATCCCAAAGATCTCACCCTGCCCTGAGGTTCTTTTCCCTCCTCTCAGCTGGATCTGTTTCTCAGAGTTCTAGAAGAGGAGGAGGTAGTACAGAAATGTGTCATGGGGAAGCAGAGACAAAGGCCCTGAGAGTACATGGAGCATAGGCCCAGTTGTGGGTTTGTGGATGTGCCTCATGGGTTGCTCACACAGACTTAAGTCAGCCCCTTAAGACACATCCCCCTATCCCAGAACCAGGGGATCTTGTTGGGAAGAAGATCTCCTCTCACCTGTGCTTTTGAGCAGAACTAAATTATACCCTCTGCCCATTTATCAGAAATTAACCCACTAAGGGTATTTATGACCTGGAAAAGGTAGAAGTCACAGGCTCATGGAGAAGCAGAAATAACTCATGTGGTATTTGCAGGATAATTAGTTCACAAGGATAACAAGAGGAACAAACAAGAATGGAACACAGTTCTCGGCGGCTGGGGCAATTGTTCTGAATTCTGGCCAGACGTTAGAATTACCCAGGAATTTTAATAAATCCAATGTCCAGGCTCCCCTAGGACCAATCACAACAGAATATGGGATGCAAGGGCAGACATTAGTATTTTTTTGAGACTCCCCAGGTAATTCTATCATGTAGCCAAGATTAAGAACTGTTGGTCTGGGGTTGTGTTGTCCAATATGGTAGCCACTAGCTACACATGTCTCATGAAAACTTAAAACATGGCTGTGTGACTGAGAAACTACATTTTTAATTCCTTTTTACTGTAGTTAAGTTAAATATAGTATCCACACGTGGCTATGGTTGGCATATTGGGCAGCCCAGATATAAAACACATGTGTCATCACAGAAACTCTACCAGACAGCTCTGTCTAGGTGAACTCTGGTGCCTGTAACTGCCAAGTGAAATCACACTGAATGCAAGAGAAGTGTAAGGTGGTTATCTCAGTAAGTTAATTTGACCAGGGCCTGCTCTCCTGTGTTTGGCCTGCAGTGTATTTTTCATTTACCTTTTGAGCCAGGGATATGCAGTAGCAAGAGTGACATGCTTTCCAAGGACTGCATGGTAGGATCTGAAAGAACTTAAAATACCTACAAAAGTCCAGCACTCTGACCCAAGTCACTTGGCATTCACTCTGGCTGTTTACTCGATTTGCATCTTTGCATCCCTAGCCCTGGAAAGGGAGCTGTCTGAATGATGATTTAATTACCAGAGTTTAGGACAGTGGGAAGCACTGTCCAGGAAGAACTTTTGGAAAAGCAGATGGCCAAAGGAGGAGTTTGGAATTTTGTGAGTTCACGATTTGAAATGGACTCATTGGGGCCACTCCGCAAGCTCAGCCAATCTGGGGTTACAGCTGGAGAAACAGAAGCCAAAGCTGAATCATTTTCTGCTTATCACTCACAGGCTGTCAGAGGTTTTTTTTTTTTTTTTTTCTTTCTTTTCTTGGAGGGAAAGCACCTTACAACAAATAATAATACTATTTTGAATTTCGGAGCTTTCCCTTTTTCAAAGCACTTTACCACCTCTGACTTATTTTGTCCTCACAACAAGGCCATATCAGAAGTAGGGAAAGGATTTTTAGTGCCTGTCTAACACCCCAAGAAAGAGTTCAATATTATGGAAAGAATTAAAAAGTAAAGGTGAAGACTCTCAAGTGTTCTACTCTGTCATCTCTGGTCACATTCAAGTATGTAGCAGCATAGCTAGAATCGAATTTTGGACTCCTCCAGTGAGCTGTGTTTTTTCAGAAAAACCTGGGCTTCACCGTTGCTCCTGTCTCGTTTCATTCCTGCCTTCTCACTCTTGTGAGTTGATGGTGTGAGTTCATTTTGTCCTGAGAGGTTTGTGTGATTTGCACATTTGACCAATGTGCCGTCAGTGTCTCCCTCCAAGTTAGTTTTAAAATGGAATGTGGGACAGGACCCCGTTGGTCTCCATGGAAGCAATATCCCTGCTTCCCTCTAAAGGATGTGACTGAAACTGAAGAAGCTATAGATCCCCCCTGTCACCTTGGAGCCTTCAACCTTCTCTGTGTAGAGCTGCAGAAAATCATTTCAAACCTCACCTGCCAGTGGGGAGAAAACACTGGCTAGTCTGAGCTGTTGAGATCAAGTGGATGGCTTGGCCAGCCTGGTCATCACTGGCAGTGGGCATGGGAGTAGGCGTAGCAGGACCAACAGCATGCCATGGCCTGACCTCTTTGGGAATGTCACCCCCGCCACTGTGAATTCTCCCCGTTATACCATCAACTGGCCCAGCTTGTGTATCTTATGTACATAGGATACAATGAGAGGTTTTCAGATGCTTTACTGAAAGCAAGACACACTTTCTGGGGCATTCCCCTAATCGACTGTTCTGGTGAAGCTCGTCAAAACAGGAAATGAGGTTAGCATGGAATGACTTTCTCTTAGAGAACTCGTGTTGCCTCTTAGAGACCACCACTTTCTTCCCAAATGCTTAAGAGCCTTGTCAAATGCCTCTTCTGGGTTTGTTGGGAAATTAGAGTGAGTCTGCTCTTCTGTAGTTTTTAGAACCCATTCCTCTGGAAAATGGTGATGTTATTTCCCGGCCTTCCAGATCCTCTCCCTTTCACGCCAGTATCTCTAAAATGTTTGCAAGTGGCTCTGAAATTAAGGGTGCTCAGACTTCAAGCCCGACCAAAACCTGGCCCCGTCCACGTGCCCAGACTGAGGTGATCACACATGGACGTGAAGTAGCTACCTTCTCATGCTTCTTGGCCCACATGGTTCCTTTCCATCAGGTGTGCCAGTAAGAGACACGCATCCAGTGGAGATAAAAACTGAGTGAAAGCAATCCACTTTCCTGCCCTGCTCCACGTGTGGGCACCTGGTTCAGGAAGGCATTATAATTAAAACAGCTGGGCCTGGCTTCCTTCATGTGAATCCCCACATTGGGTTCTTTGATTCAGTTTTCAACAGCAGTGAGGGTTTCATAGTCTGGGCAAGCTGCAACATGCTTGTCTCTCTGCTGAGGCTTTCTGACAAATGGTTCAACTCGAGATTTCTGGATCTAAATGTCTTCTTGTCAGTACTGAGATACTTTTGAGTCACTTTTGCTTTTATCCAGCAGAAGAGAGTCAACCTGGGGAATGTCTAGCTTTGACTCATGGGTGTCCAGGGAGGACCGATGTCACCAAATAATGAGTTTTGGGTCACCCCTTAAAGATCTGCCTATGCCTTATGCTCTCACTTCTGTAATCATGGCTCTGTCTCCCTTTTTACATAACTTAGCAGGACCTCAAAAGCCATTCTGAGTCCTCATGACTAGAAGGGGACTCCTTCAGCCTAGTGTCCCTGCCTCACTTTCCCCAAATCTACAGGTACTGCATTTTCAGTGATATAAGTATATGGGTTAATAAAAGTGTCT